CGGCGGTATATGCCATAAATGCAAGGGTTTCTTTAAAGTTCTGTATCTTTGCAGAAAAAAATGGTAGCGGTTTTTCACATACTGGAAATTAAAGATAAAGGTTTGTACTTTCTGCTGCTGTAAACAGTATCGCCCCAAAAAAATGTGGCAAGTCCATGCATTTCGTCAAACTTTGTAATTTTCAATATTGCAAACATGACCTCACATTTACGGTGTTATTGTGGTAGGGATGCATCAAATCTAAAATCAAACTACAGGGTCTTAAAGTAGAGATCTCAAGCTTTAATTTAAAAAAAAGAGCATAACTTTGCGATGATTTTTCACGGAGTTATCATCAGTCGAATTTGGCCAATTTTTGCCTAAAATTTTTCTATGCCATATTTCTTTTGAGCAGTGTATTAGATGGATTGGTGGAGATGTAAAATAAGGGTAACTGAGATAGAAAAAGGGCGTGATGGTTGATTTTTCAATTTGAAATTGTATATTTCTGTATTTTTAAGTTGTTAAATCTCTAAACTTCTAAAATACAATGATCTATGTTCTGTATATATAAAAGTCTACATAGTTATATTTATCATTTTTTTATTTAAAAATATCATGTTCTTAAATTCATTAACCACTACATTTCTACATTTCCAAATTGTCGAATTTCTAAAAAAATCCTTCAATCTTCAAATCTCTAAATTTTCAAAATTCAAAACTACAGAATTTTAAATTCATCTAATTTCTAAATTTAAAAATTGCTGAACTCCCAAATTTTCACATTTCTGAAGGACAAAGTATCCAAATTTTCAACACTCAAATTCTCAAATCACTCTAAACAATTCCAAATACTGCAAGCCTGAAATTTCTAAATTTTCAAACTTAAAGCAAAAATTCAACAATTTTCAATTATTCAAATTCTCAATTTCCGAATCTCTAAATGTCCAAATCCTCAAATTTCCATATCTTCAAAGCACCAAATCCCCAAATTTATAAATTCTCGAATTTCCAGAAACCCAAAACAGCCAATCTCCAAATTTACAAATCGCTAAAGCTCCAAATTCTTAAATTTCCAAATCTTCAAATTTACAAATTCTCAAATGTCCCTACCTTAAATTCCTATATGCCTGGGTCATTAAAAACTTGAATCCCCAAATACAAAAATTTTCAAATTTCTAAATTTCTAAATCTTTGAATTTATGAATTTCCAAATTTGAAACTTTAACTAACACCTGTATTTGTAAATTCATTGTTGGACATTTAATCAATCCATCATTGATAAAAAATGTACGCCAATGTGTTAAATGTACTTTGGTACAAAGAATTTCTGTATAATTCGATGCTAGAAATGGCGAATTCTTCTCAACTGTTACAATTATTTGTAAATATATAAGGCAATTATATAATCACTATTAGCCGTTCGAACATAATGACCCCTCTAATTTTAAATATAATCTTCCTATCACTTTTAGTTTACTGTAATTCTCAAGTATTAACATTTAAATAAACTAAAATGTAGCAAGTTATACAAAATGTAGCTAAAATAAATTATATTTTTCTTGATGATCGAATATTTATCTACATATCGTGCAACTTTGATTGTAGATGAGTGCAATTAATAAAAAATGAATTCATAAAAATAATAAACAATGCTATTAAAATTTTCTTGTCTGTTAATTGTATTAAGAGAAAATAAATGGGCAGGAAATGTAATGATGCTAAAAACGCGTCCATAAATTATAAATCCTTGACGCTCTAAAAATGTGTACTAACTAGAGCCTTTTAGTACTAATGAGCCCAATTATCATAAAAGCACCAAGGTATATCGACGCGACGGTTCCATAGTCGGTAACATAGATACCTCTTAATCTTTATTATTTTAATCGTATGACATTTATCATCAAGACCACCGCATTTTGAAAGTCCCGTAGAATTTTGCTATGCATCACATAATGAACCACTATGCCACATATGTAGTGACGTAGCAATTATTTCATGTGCATGGCGTCGAAAACCGTTCCAATCATTTCTTCGTGTAATACCACCATTGCCGTGATTATGTTCCCTAACTTTTTCAGACTATTGGTTACCTAATAAAATTACATATAGAATACTTATGTATTTTAACAATAAATGTTATTTATAACGTAAATATAATTGTATCTCATTTATGCTTATAAATAACGTTGACTGATAGTGTAATATCGTCCGACTTGATCCGGTTTAGCATAGTGCGGGGTGTCAGCGAGCGCGAGCACGCAATGTTTATAATAAAAATCTGAGGAATTGTAGGAGGCAATTAAATATATATATATATTACAAATGGATTATTAATGGATATATATATATATATATACACATTACAAATGGATTTGTAATAAAATTCTCTACACTTTTTGTCATTATACAAATTTGAATAAATTGTAAAATAAGGTTATGGAAAATTTTTTTGTTATAAATAAATTACATTTTACAATTTTTTTATAGAAGTTTTAATGTATCTCGTATGGTTTTCAAGATAGCCAAAAGGGGTTGAAACTTTAAGAGATCGTTTCACCCCTTAAACCCGCGTCTCAGCCGATAAAAAAAAATACGTGTCCCTTATTTTTGCCTGCTTAATAAACGTACGAAGTTTCATCAAAATCGGAGGGGGACACTTGCGTGCCTTTCCTTGTAAGTTTATTATTATACTTTTCTTAAATATTACATAGTCACTCATAAAATATGTGCCGGTGCAGCATTTTACTGGAAGAATTCCAAATATGGCTGTCTTGAAGTGCTTAAGCGTCTTCTTCAATGAAAACATTTTCTTAAAATACCTCGAAAATTAATAATTTTACTATTGTACACCAGGACTTTCTATTTAGATTGAGAGGACGTTGTAAAATGTAAAAAAGCATGCATATCCATTTGCAGAAACAATGCAATTGTTAAATGCATATGCATCACTGCACTTTAAAAAAGAACTTGGTTTCACGAATATAGTGCTCTTTGAACCATTCGTCATTCTCCTTTGACATTTTTCTGCATCGAGACTGGTAACGAAGTTATAATCTGATACAGTTATGTGCACGACCCTGTACAATAAAGTGTAAACCTTAACGAAAAGAATTAATTCCTCTACAACGTTTTGTTGTACACTGTGAAAATCCGCAGCTTGAATTTAGTTACTTTAATAAAGACAGAAAAATAGAAAAAAATTCTAGTTATTCGATTTTTTAATCTGAGTAAATTCCAAACTGTACAGCAAAAAATCAAGTAACAGAAACAGTTAGACAGTCCGGTACTATTATATAATGAGTTATTTATTATGAAAGTAGAGGAAGTACAATTTTTGTAAATTTTGTTTACATATTATTTTTACAGTTACTGAAGATGAAGGGATAGTTTATAACCGATCCGTTATTCCGAAGTAAACGAATTTATTCCATTTCCGTAATAAATAGTTAATATTATGACGCATTTAAACCTGATAATTACATATTCTAAAAACGACCGAATATTGTAAAAAATTTATAAATATACAAGAATGCATTTATGTCATAAACCATTTGCTAATATTTGCCCTTAATTTCTTCTTTTAAAATCAGGTAAAAATTGGAATCTGGCATGACAAATCATTTTACATATTCTGCGGAGTATGTAAAATACATACCTAAAATATAATAATAGAATTAATGTAAAAGTCAAGATAAACATAAAAATTTCATACTAAATATATCATGGTTTTCTTTATTCTGTATTACCTTTCCATAAACATTGGAAATATGTAATGTTTCTATCTTGACTTTTACATCAATTTTGTTATTACATTTAAGGTATATATATCTGATTAATGGGTTCTAACTCTCAGAAAATGTACGATAATTTAGTGAAACAATCTTTATTACCTACAAAATTTGAAAAAAAAAATGGAAAGAGAAGATACAATTAGTTGTTTCAATAATGTTTTCTAAAAACTCTCATCATTGCTAGAATTCATAATTCCTACTTTCTGCTAAACAATTATTTATTTTTTGTTAAATTACCAGGAAAATACTTTTCTATTATTGCAATAATTATGATAATAATTTTAAATAATTTGTACATTTTAGATTTAGAATGTAGTAAAACTAAATTTCCTGAAGATTTATGGATATTAGTAATAATAAAATAATTATTGGCAGTGAAAAATAATGTGGATGGAAAATAGTGCCTTTGTGTACTTACCGTAATTAATATTCTATAATGTAGTTATAAAATACAAGTCACATTACATAAAAAAAAAAAATAAAAAAAATCAATAAATTGAAATATGTATAGAATAAAGAATGACTCATTAAAAAACAGTATGAAAGTACGGAACGCAGTGCAATTTTGTTGCAATTATACTTTTGCAAATACCATTTGATTATTTTAACCTAATTTAACTCCCAACGAAAGAGTGACTAATTCATTTTCAACAATTAACGATTTACATTTTCACGAATTCAAAGTGACAATTAATCAATTTTTCGACAACAAGCTCGTTTTTCAATTGATATTTAATTTCATTTGCTCGTGAAAGCAATAAATCTTTCATTTACTCACATTCACGTTATAATTCCCGAATTCAGCTTGCAGAGCGAGACCAGTCAGATTAATTAACTCGTGATACGGGCATACCAGCTGTTGCTCCAATATACATCGTCGTATTTGTAGATACAGTAGGTGTTTCGATATCCAACTTCTAAACAAATGAACAATCAACGATTAATCAGTATTCAAAAGTTGTCTACATATAAAAACGTAACTTCGTTTTACACTTCACTTTGTGTTCCTCTTCAAAATTAAAAAATAAGAGCTTTAACTTGATTTTGTAGATGGATGAATACATGCACACCTTCGTCCATAAGTACAAGGATATGTTAGAATTATTTTATGCAAAATGACTACTGTTTGTGAATTGTTGCATTGTTAAAAACTTTATATACTTGTAGATCTCGATTTAAAAATTAAACACTAATATTTTGCGCATTCGTATGGCTAAAATTTTTCAAGTTATGAGTATTGAAAACTTCAAACTAACTTTTATTTAAAAACCTCGTATTTTATATGCTAAATTTTAGAGTTTTTTTTTTAATACTGATGAATCTCCAATATAGACAAAATTATAAAACTTTATTGCAGCGAAGATGACTTGCTTTGATTATGCATTTATAAAGAAAAAACATAAAGCCATATAATAAAAATTTTGATATATTTGAGTATTTAAAATTAAGTAAACCTAATGTTGGGATTGGTAAGGCTCGTAATACTTACGTACGGAAGTGTATATTCATAAACGAGATAATAATTTTAATTTTATCGAAGAGTCATATACTTTGGCACAGCATTTGTCAAACATTTTGTCGCGTGAACAAAAATATTTGTTTAAATGTGATCCAAATATCTTTAAATTTATAAATTTTTGTACACTGATGCAACTGTATTTTATGCAAATAAAATTATATACATTTAACAAAACTTATAATTTATAGAAAGTGATATTCAATACATTTCTTCAATTTTATGTGTTATTATTATTTGTTGGAAAAGTTTTTGTCAGACATAAATTTACTTATATTTATAACAAATTTTCTTTCACAATCTAACCGTAAATACGAATATTTAAAATAAAGAAACTGATTACATTTATTCTAAATTTGTCAACAAAAAAGTACTGTTACTCAACACCGAGTAATCTCACAGTAGTTTCCACTTTATCAGAAAGAGATAAAATATTTCTGATAAAGTATTCCTCTACACTTTTTTTTCAAGTCCAAATTTATCTTCCTGCAGCTATCAGTAGTTTCTTGCAAATGTATAATATTTCGAAAACGATAACTATAATAAATTCAAGTAATGATTCATTTTTTGTTAGAAAAATTCCTGCGACTAAATAACTAATTATTTTTATTGTAGGATATACGAATAGTTTATTGTAGAAAACGATATGCGTTGTTTTAGTGCTAATTACTTTTATATGCATTTTATGTATAAAAAATAATTATTATTAAAATAAAAGATAAAAAATACCTTATACCACGAAGAGAGGGTAGAAAGAATCTGAGCCTCAGATACAGCATAAAACTAGTTGGAAGACCCAGCAGACCTTTGCTTTTGCCACTGCTTAGCCATCCTGGTGGCGCAACTTTATTCAATTTAGTGTCAGGAGGTAAAATCGCGAAATCGCCGGCTAACAATACGGCCAGACCAAGGGTGAAGTTTTCATCCAGGCTTTCAGCTTGTACGATGGCCTAAAATCATTTATAAACGACTAACTACGTAAATGATGTAATTACTCAAGATCAGAGATATACTCCGATCAGATATACCTATAAATCACATACACATAGGAAATACAGAATGCGCATTAGACTGGGTCTGGGACGTAATTGAGAAACAGCTTTTCAATTCGTTGACTGCTACATTGAAGCAATTAAAAATTTGAATAGGTGCTATTTTTGCTTTTAACAAATTTTATAAAATATTTGCACAACATTTGTTATATTTATTATTCATATAAATGAATAATGTAGGTGATTGATAGGTGTGTAGGTGATTGGTATGGAAATTTAAACGTCACCTATACGTGAACGACGCGGCAGTCAAAGTGTTAAGCAAAGATGATACATCCCCCGAAAACTATCTGCATCGTTTTCAACGAAAATGCTTCATTCAACGAGATGTGCGGTCCATATTTTTGTATCTCTGATAAATTATACCCGTTAAATGAATGCATTCACTCATTATCATTAATATATCTAACGTTTCAGTGAACGGTAGATTATAAGAGTTTTATATTTCATTTTTCAACTTATCATAATTCATGTTTCTTCAAATGAAACATCGTCAACTTTATATTCATATTTATATACATTTTACTAATTAGCTCTTTGATCAACACGATATCCATTTTAACTGTGAATTACGATTACTCTTTGTAATATTCATCGGCATAATAATTTTTGTTTGAATAGATAGCCTTAGTTTGCCACGCGTTATAATTATGCGTTATATGGCTACATACGAGGTCTGTCCCAAAAGTATCTGGCCTTCTTTAATTTCTTCGCACCTGACAATTTTAGTGTCATTTGTCGGGTATGAGTATCAACTGGAAAACTTTACGAACTCCCACGATATCGCAGTTTTCATCGGGACGCCTTAGTTTATGTGCAACGTGCATTTATTTACGAAGCGTTTTATACGTTCGTCGCATTCTGCTTTTGTGAAAAAGGACAGAAAGATCGAAGCAACGAATTTGCATCAAATTTTGCTTAAAACTCGAAAAGAGTTGTGCGGAGACCATCGAAATGATGAAGAAGGCATTTGGGGACGAGTGTATGAGCAACACACAAATCAAAGAGTGGTATAAGCGGTTCAAAGATGGCCGTACATCGGTTGATAGTAATTTGCGACCACCGAAGATCGTCGATTGACTGTGCGAGAACTAGAATGTGATCTTGGAATACCGAAAACTAGTTTTGGCCTCAGTTTTGGTCAAGCGGTGATTGGCTTCTTCATCACGATAACGCGCCAGCGCATGCATCGAATTTTGTGCAGCAATATTTGACGAAGCACAAAGTGATACAGCTCCGTCAGCCTCCGTATAGTTCTGATGTAGCTCCCTGCGATTTTTGATTATTTCCAAGATTGAAAATGTCACTCAAAGGACACCGATTCGATAAAGAAACGGTCGAAACTAATACGACGAACGCTCTAAAGGCTATTTCGAAAAATGACTTCCAGGACTGTTTCCATAAGTGGAAAGGTCGTTGGCAGCGTATTATACAATCAAATGGGGACTACTTCGGAGGCTCTTACCAGCCCGATGACGCAGGATAACACCAGCAGGGAAATATGAAGGAAGGTCGGATACTTTTGGGACAGACCTCGTACTATATTACCATGCATTGTATGATTACACGTTATATCACCACTTGCGCCAATGGTAATATTAGTAATAAATATCTTCAATTATACCATACATTTTGGAATTTTTATATTACAATTTGAACTATCAATCATAGAACATTTAATTAATAAATCAAATAAAAGTATGACAATAATAAATTGACTTTACAGGTTCAGATTTAAATTTATTATTAATCCACGATAAGAATATTTTACGTGTTTGCACATTTCTTGTAGTTAGTTGGAAAAATCCAATATATACCTATATATAATAAATACTTTTTAAAGGTACTCCTTACATCGCAGCCAATAAGAAACTTTGTATTGGACTTCGTGAAATGTGTCAACTCAATTTCAAAGTTTCTATCGTTCTTGGATCTCCTAGATCAATAAACTCAAATTCGTAATAGTTTTTCGCGTATGTTCCTTTTTTAACTAGTACAAAATTTATAAAAAAGACATTAAAATTTTGTTTAAAGTGTAATAATTAAAACTAGATTATGATGAAAAGTAAATAGATATTTGTACAATAATTAAGTTTTTCGAAATGATTGGGCACCTATTTCAAGATGGTACATGTTAATCGGTGATATCGCATAACTCATGGTTTGTGGATTTGTCGTATACAACGATTAACCTTGGCAGAATGCCAGAATTTCTCATGAGTTCACACCGGAATTTGTGGTTTTCTCTACGACCACCTATATCATGGTCTTCATATTGTAACATTTGACATGTATTGTATAATTCAAAAACCAAGTTTGATGCAAATTCTATTTATATGAAATTTTAAAAAATTTTTTAATGTTTGGTACTATATTAACTATATTAAATTATACATAAAAAATTCTGCAAATATGTAAAACAGGAACAAACTATGTGCAACTTGTAATTTTGAACAAAAGTATTAATAAAAATGCTATAATTCTAACATTTTTAGTTTTATGATGTATTCCAAAAAAACTGAATTGATATTTCATATGAAGCGACCGATAATTCACGCATTAGTTGGAAATTGTTACGAACTTATTAGTTAAATATTTTTATAATAAACTACAAAGCATTAAGATTGTCTGGTATTATTTATGAAAACTTTTGAAAAATAAAAACTTTATAATGATTTTATACTAGTTAAAATTCTTCGTTAAAATGTATAATTTTAATTAATTCTATTTATATACATATATTATAAAGATTTCTGCTAAATTGTTAAGAATAATCAATTAATATAGTCATAAGTAACTGTTACATAATTGATAATATAATTGTTATTAATAAATGAGGAGAAAGGAATAACACAATTAAGAATCAAATTGTTATTTCAAGTTTAGAAAAAAAACATTGCTACTGTAAATTCTGCTCTTCGACTGTTTTCATATATAATAACTTAAACTCAAAAGCACAAAATCTTATCACCGTAAAAATATTTTTGTCAACTGGATTGTATAGAAGTTTACATGTTTTTGTAAATGATACGTACCGTTCAAACATAATTGCCTAGCAAATTGAATCTCGTATCATCGACGGACACTCTTCACAAAAAAACTCTCGTCAGTTCATACTTTTGATTGAATTTCAGCACTTTTCACAGCTTTCCACGATCGAAAACCAATCTACGCTTCGATTCAATTTACAAACTTTATTAAATTGCCAAATAAATATTTTGAAATACGAATCTAGTAATTGAACACCTTTGCTAATTTTGAGTGATAAAATGCATTGAGAATTTATACGAAATACAACTAGTTACCTGGAACAAATCACCAGCTGTTACTTTTTGAGGATCGCACGTGACCTCTACTCGTTGACCAGTCAGCATTATCACAACAATTCGTCCACAACTGCCAGTTTGCTTAAACAAAGATAAAATATATAATTATTAATAATTGTTTAATTAATAAAACAAATCTATTAAAATGATAAACATACAGGGTGTTACCTGTAACGCTACTCACGATTTTTCTCCCACTTGCAGCCACCTTACGAAAAAAAGTTTAGAATAAAATTTGCAGGGTATGAAGTGCATAGTAGATATTAGTAAAGCAAATTTTGAAAACAGTTTGTTCTCTTGGCAAAGTCAAGGTCACCTTGGGTTTTTTAAATAGGAACATACATATTTTTTTATTCATAGCTTTAGAGGACATCGAGACAAATTCAAAACATATA